AAGTGAGCATCCTCAACAGCAGGGGACTGATTCACAGTGGGTTTCCACTTTCATCAGCAGCAGTGAGACAAAATTAGTTTCAGATCTATTTTCAGAGCAAATAGAATTAGGCGGCACTACTAGGTTGAACTGGCGCATGGCCACAGTTGCCAGGCAGAAGCTGTGAAGGAACTCGGAAGCAGGCACTTCCTGAATCTAAAGCTTTGTAATCAGTAAAGTACATGTCTCCCAGGGTAGGGAGCTTTTGCAGTTACTAACAGTTTCAAAACTTCTTTTTCTGAATAAAACTGCTTTTTCTCACCATAGGAAAGTTGCTTGCTTGCTTGTTATTACTGCAACTGATTAAGATATGTTTTTAATTAAGTTTCATGGTATAATACCCCTGTTGTTAATATTGTATTTGTTTTTCTAAATGAAAGCTAATTCTAATCCACTGATTAATTTCATGATTCAGGGATCACAACCCATTTTACAAACCTGCTTACCAGGAGCTGTGGGGAGGTGCAAGGGAGGGTGCTCAGCTCCTGTGCTCAGCAGAGCCTGAGACGATGGGAAACAGACAATGAGTTCATCCAAGGAAAGCACAGTGAATCCTGTTGAGTCTCACTTGCTTGCAGTGAGGGCTGCACCTCTATGGAGTCAAGCAATACCTATCTAATACCTATCTAAAGATAGGTAGCTGACAGGATCTGTATATCAGGGATCTTTCTGATGGAGGGCAGAGAACAGTTGGAGGGCCCCTGCCAAGGTGCAGGGGAGCCGGTTGGCGCCTGTGGCAGAGCTCAGATTAGCTCTCACAGTGGCCCCAGCTGCAGAGCAGCACCAGGGTGGACAGGAGAAGACACAGCAGGACCAGTGGGGTGTCAGGGTGAAGGCAACTGGCATCACTGGGTCTCTAGCTCAGTGGCTCAGTCAGTGGTGGTGCCATTTACTAAGACAGGAAAGTCTGGGGGCATAGACAAGCTCAAGGGAAGATCATGAGCTCAGTTTTGGACAAGTTGAGGTGCCAGGGAGAGACCCAGGTAGTGATGTCTCCTAAAGTTCAAAAGAAGAGTCTGGGCTAGACATAGATGTAGTTGTGTTCAGGGCAGAAAATATTGGAAATGAAGGCAGTGAGATCACACAGGGGAGGGTGTTGTGTCAGAAGAGCACCTAGAACAAGCTGTGCCCGGGAACACGTGTTTATACAGTGGACCCTTGACTTACAAACTCAATTCGTTTAGTTGTAACTCAAGTGTTTTTCCCATAAGAAATAATGGAAATACCCATGTGTTCCGAACCTCCCAAAGCACCCCTTAACTAACCCTTTCACGCTGAAAAGGGTTGTATAATGTGCATAATTTATCTGAAACACCAATAATCTTCCTAGTGTATTCACAAAAAGTTATACAGTATGCCTGGTTTATCAGAAACAACAATTTCATACTGTACTCAGCACTCAAACTGATGTCTTTGGCCTGCAGGAAGGGTGTAATGGGAGCTGGTTACTGTTTGGAGGGAGAGCCCCTTCCATACGAACATTAGGAATCTGGCTCTCTGTGTCCTTTCTCTCCTTGGGGGAGTCTGTAGCCCACTAAGACCTGCTTCTACCTCACTATGTCTCAACCTTTTCAGATTTAAAAACTGGTCTAAGGTCTGTTTCTATCTTTTCTTTAACACTGTTCTGCAGTATGACATGACATTGTCATTAACCAAGTGAATGCAACGATTGGCTTTTTCTCTGTCTGGATGGGTCTTCTCTACAAATGTTTGTAGCTCTGTCCATTTTTTCTGGATTTCCTTTATTGCAGAAGAAGAGCTTTGCTGCACTGATTGTTGATGCTCCCCCTCTTCTTCAGAAAGCTCCTCAGCTGCCATTCTCTGCTCCTCAGCCAGAAGCTGCTGAAGTTCCTCGGTGGACAATTCCTCTGAGTGCTCCTCCACCAGTTCCTCAACATCACCACTGTCTACCTGCAAGCCATGGACTCTGCTATATGACAGTGTCATCAACCACAGGGTCAGTTGAAGGCTCAGGCTCCTCTACATGGTCTTCAAAGTCTCTCTCCTGTATAATTTTAGGCCACACTTTGATCCACGCACATCTCAGTGTACTTAGACACTGATCCAAGATTTCTCAATAAACCCACACAGGAAAGACTGGCATTCAGGTCATAACTCAAGACTTTGGTCATAAGTTAAAATTGAAATTCTGGTCATAACCCAAGTTGTTTGTATGTGAGGCAGGTGGTAACTCAAGGGTCCCTTGTATTTCTGAAAACATGTGCCATGGGTTAAAGTTCTTAGAGCTGAAACTTGATCACTAGTGGCTTAAGTCAGAGGTTTATTAACTTCATGAAGTACAAAGTCTGGAGGCAATGTAATCAGAGTTGGGCAGATGTCCTTATGATGCTGACCTCAGCTGGACGGAGGAAAGCTTCCTGGTTGCATTGTGGCTACCACGACACCAAGTACCACAGACAGGTGGAGAGAGACTTTCAAAGCTTAGAAAGAAGAAAGAAATTACAGAGAAAAGAGCTGGTAGATTTGACCAGTCATCTAGCCAAATTCATCTCCATCTTGGGACTGGACATTTGCATTAGTTCATCACAAGAGTGTTCTTGCCAGGCGTGGTGGCGCATGCCTGTAAGCCCATCACTGCAGGTTCAAGGCCAGCCTGGGGTATGTAGTGAGTTCAATACTGGCCTGAACTTCATAGCAAGACCCTGTCTCAAAAAACAACAAAAACAAACCAAAAACAGAAGTGTTTTTACGCTGGGCTTGGTGACACACACCTGTAACCCCAGCACTCAGGAGGCTGAGGCAAGAGGACAGTCGTGACTTTGAGACCTTCCTGAGTTGCATAGCAAATTCAAGGCCAGCCTAAGGAAGCTACATAGCGAGACCCTAAAAAAAAATTTTTTTTTTTCTGTTTTCTTATGATTTGCAAAAAGTAGGATTTGGGTGTTGAGTGAAGAGTTGAAAACAAAGAAAGGAGTAGGTGCTGATGAAAAACCCCAGCCACATGCCTTGGCCACTGATTTCCATTACTTTGGAATTTTTCCTTCTTTCCTCCTCTTGGACATGACTACAGCTTTGTCAGCTTCAAAGAAGCAAAGAGGACAGAAATGAAGGCTTTTGAGGGGGCAGGGTGAGCTGTTCTTTTCTCTCACTAAATTTAGGGTAACCCTGGCACGCTGACTCTTCCCATGAAGTACCATGCCTCAGCATCTGCACACAGGTGGAGAAGACCAGAGTACCCAAGGTGTAACACAGCACAGACTGAGAAAATGAGGAGCTGTGACTCCTTCCAGACAGCCACACTATCAAAATCAGCCTGCACCTGGGGAGGGACATCATACTGCGTGGGGCTGCAGCCTCCTGAGGCGCTGCCCATGGTTGGCCAGGAGCAGCTGGACACGCAGCCCGATTCACCGTGCTGCCCAGTCCCACTGTGGAGAAGACCATTCTCCTGAAGAGATGGAGACTGTCTTCATCCTGCTCGATCCCTTTGACCACTGGTGGATGCTGGGATCTGGTTTCAGGGTGCTCTGCTCACTCCCTGGCAGGAGCCACACAGACACGGGCACTTGTCCTAGAGCTCGGCTCTGGCCAGCAGACCCACACCGCTGAACATGCTCTCAGGCCTCGGGAACGCTTCTCCACACCTCACCCCTGACATTCAAAATGAGAGGGCTGTGTGCAGATGCCACGAGGTCTGAGCTGTGTGCTGAGCTGGGTGCATGTGAGGGCAGTCACGGATGTGAGATTTCTGGGTGCTGAGCATCCCTGTTAATTTAAGACAGGGTCTCGCTATGTAGTTCAGCCTGGCCTTGAACTTGTGGCAATCGTACCTTAGCCTCCTGAGTGCTGGGATTACAGGTGTGCACCACCACGCCTGGCTCCGTTCTTAATTTGCAATTACACAGGCACCCATGCATTGGAGTAGCATCTGCATCAACAGGAAGAGCATTCTGTAATACCAGTCCTGACTAAACTTAGATGGGACATGGCCTCGAGTTGTTACAGCCCTGGACAGATCTGCAGGCTGTGGGAGAAGACAAATACAGCCATGTGTGCAGCAGTGGACTACATGAAACTGAGTAAAAACTCCTAGCCCATATTACTGTTTGAATGTGATGTGGAAACCGTGCAGTTTAAGGACGTATTTTTCTGAGAAGACAAAATGAAATTTTGTGAAATTCTTGGATTTTTACCTATCTGGGTCCATGCACTTTTTCACTAACGTCTATCACCTCTGCATGCTTTACTCACACTTTTCTTATGGTATCCCAGGCAACACCGCCAGCTAACCAGCTGCAGCCCCAGATCCTTAGCCTTGCCGGGTTTGGGGACTTAATTCATTGGTGAAAGAAAACGCAATTTAAAATGCAGGCAGTATTACTAAATTTTATATCCAGAATGTAGAGTGTCTACTTTATTTATTCCTCACAAAATGTTCATAATTCTATGTAGATACTAAATGAATCTTTAAAAAACACAAAAACCATATTATGGATGAAATGGGGGTATTGTTGAACCTTTTCTATTGGAGTCCAACTATGTTTACTTTTTTTTTTTTTGGTACCAGGGATTGAACTCAGGTCCTTGCATTTGTGCAGCAGGCGGTGAAACCACTGAGCTAAATCCCCAGCCCTACATTTACTTTTTTAAAAACAATTTCTAAATAGCTAAGATTGTTAACATTAAATTGTGAATTATAGGAAAATCTCACACTGACTCTTCCTTATTATCTGAATATTGATGAGTTCAGATTTTATTTTTGGCTGCTCTTATTTTGCTGAGGAAATATTTTGATGTATATTGACACTGTCTATTCTCTTTTTAAAAAAATACTTATGAAACACAGTAAGCTCTGTTTACTACTTATTATCAGTAGTTTGTTTTGGTTTTGGTTTTGGTTTGACAAGTACAGGTTTTCTAGCCAAAAACAATGACATAAAGGAAAGACCAGAGTGTTATCTGTGTAGAGAAGTTGGGACAAAAACACAGTGAGACAAAGGAAACTTGAAGAAGTTATTCATGTTTATTACTTGATTTACAGCTGACACAGCAAAGGGAGGGGCCCAAAAGCTGTTTGACATTCAGTTCCCATCCTTTACACACTGGCATCTCCCAGATCCCGGGGCTGCATGGCTGAGCCTAGGGCATGGAGCGTGGAGCACCACCCCACACAGCCACAGGCAGAGAACACTGAGGGCCCTGGTTCCAGAAGTCAGAAGAGGATGTGAGGCCCACCCAGTACTAATCATGTTCTAGAATAATCAGAAAAAATAACAAGATTTGAATACTGTACAGACTATGTCTTTTATAGACATTATATTTTATAGACATTTATGCTCTCGTTGTAAGCTGCCTCTAACTTATTTCCTCCCTTGCCAAAGCCTGACCGTTTATGACAAATCAAGGGCAATCCCTAAAACTTAAAAAAATAAATGACTTTAACAATAATCATTAACTTCTCCCCAAAGATCTATGGCTAAGGCTATTTATATAGATTTGGGGTCTTCATAATTCAGGAGACCTTTAAATTTTGAGCTCACAAAGGTTACCTCTCTTATTAGATAATAGGATATTCAGAAATACCTGAGGTATAATCATTTAAAATTGCCAAAGAAGGAATTAAAAAAAAAAAAAAGATAGGGATTTCCCATACTGGCAAGAAAGTGCATACCAACTGATTCTACGGAAGAACTAAAACCTGACACAGGTAGGCCAAGGAGCCTGCTGCAGGGTTCCAGTTCTTACCTCACTTTGCAGACAATTCTGATATAACAGATTTTCAGGCTGTACCAAAATGATTTTGGATAGACTGCAGAAGGAGCAAAACCCAGTTTCAAGACAGGATTCATTTCTACAGAACAGCATGCACCCGTCTAGCATTCCCGGTTCTGACAGAACATCCGTATCCATCTAACTTCAAAGCCTAAGTCTGTCTTGTTCAGTCAGGTGTGCTTACTGGCTGCTAAAACACCCACTCTGCCTCCACTGATCATAAGAGTATGCCAATCTCACTTAGCGTGGAACACTACAAAGTCCAGCTTAGTTCTAGTGATTTGCGCAATGTAATTTGCACAATGGTAACTTAACACTGCACCTCTCCCTGGCCCCACCTTTTCCTGCTTCTGATGTTCTTGGAAGGTGTGAATGTTCAGGCAATAGGAACACGTCTTTCTTAGAGGAAAAATGAGTAGCTCTAAGAGCTGACTAAAGGGAGCACCCAGAGTTACTGCATATAGCAGAAATTCAAATGCTATTTTTTAAGAAGTCAATTGGGAGATTTAGAAGTTTTAAACACCAGGAACTCTCCGGTTTTAGTGTCTGACCCACTCAGGGACAGACACTGACCTGGGATAGCTTCTAAATGTGTGTGCAGATTCAAGACTGGCTGAAGGAGGAAGGAAGGACATACCTCCCCATCACCTATTTTTAAGAAACCTATTTAGAAGAGTTATTAAAAGATTCTAAAGGGTAGGAAAACTCACACATTCGTACCACTGCCTACGTGTTGGCTTTTCTACACTTCAGAGCACAAGCTCTTCACGTAGGGAGAGCAGCACAGGAGAGAGGGGACCCCACTCAACCCCAGGATCAGGTGAGCAAGGAACAGAGTGGGCATGAAGAATTCTTCAGAAAACTGCCTTTCAGCTAAGTCAGGTTAAAGGGGTAAAACATTTGCAAATTAAGCACCAAAAAGACCAAGTGATACATCTATTTTTATCAACAAAAGAACAAGTCACCTCGCTCATCTCCCTGGCACAGGCTTTCCTCCCTAGGCCTCCGCAGGGCCACATCACCTGCCAGGAGCAGACCCTGACCGGCAACCCAGACCCAGGCTGCTTCCTCCCAGGACAGCTTTGCGCCACCCTGCTGACTGCTGGCCCCTGACCTGACAGCCTTGCCTCTTCAGTTAGTAAAAAAGAGCCTCAGAGAAAAAGAAGCATTAACTCCCCCATTAAAAAGTTCATTCTTCCATCCCCGGTACCAAAAAAAAAAAAAAGTTCATTCTTCACTTGATCTTAGCCAAAAGGCCGAGAAGTGATAAAAAAAAGTTCATTCTTTAATTCCACAGATACCAAGAACGAGGCAGATGTGTTTTAATACACATCAGGAAAAAATAAAAACAACACACTCTCAAAGCAAGCACCTGGGTTTTACTTTAGTTGCTAATAATTTAATGTGCCTGAGAATTATTGTGCAAATACATGTCATCTTCATTAAAAATATGCATAGTGCACTTTGGAAAAAGTTGCAACCAACTTTCCTTAAAAAACAAATTAAATAGATAAATATGCATAATCTATGGTAATCTAATTACCATTGATTGCAGCCTCTAAGGAAATCTGAAAGACAATTATGTTCGCATTCCTTGGCCGCTGTATTACCCAGAAGAAATATTATAAAAACAAGCTTCCTTGGTTCTAAATGACTCATAATTTTCTTTTAAAAGTAAATCTCTCCTAACCCTTATTCATGGTTTTTTTTTTTGATGCTGTATAAAAATACAAATTTTAAAAATGAACTTCTGGTAATCATAAATACAAAGGAATTTAGATGGTATTTGGGCCCCCAGTGGCTCAAAGATCTGAAAACAGAAAGGAGAAGCTGTACTTGGATCTGCTGAAATACATAAAATCCCTTGTCTTGCTAGCGCTGTGCACACGCACGAGCTGACTCGTAGTTTAATCGGACATCAGCAGGGGGCACGGGTGTCAGTGCCGCCTGCCACTGTGACAGACCCAGCCTGCCGCACCTGCCTGGAGAGCAGCTTCTGCCAGCAGCAGCCCAGCTGCTCTGCCCTCTTCCTGTCCTGGGCAAGCCTGCTGCTCAGCTCACCAGAAGGGAAGCTATTTCTGGAAGTTTCAGTATTTTAGAATTTATTTTCTATTCAGTTTTTATTTTCAAGACAAGAAAGCTCAACTGAAGGAGGATAGTAAACCTTTTGTTTTCCTGTCTCTGGACACTCCCAGACCATTCATTTACACTTTCAATTTACCAGACTTCATCCTTGAGGACCTCATCCCAGCTTCATTCCCAACCCTCCATGTCCCTCCTCACATTCACAACCTCCTGCAACATTCTCTCCAGTCAGACCACACTGCGCAAGTCAGTGAACACTTGCCCTTCCTGGGCCACCCTGTACAACACGTTGGTTAACACTAAACCTCAGTCCTCCTGCGGACGCCCACTCTCGGGGCAGATGTGCTAACCAGGGCACCAAGGCTCCCCATCGTGACTGGAAGACTCTGATTTCTCCTCAGCCCACCCAATAAGCTGCTCCCTGAATTTACATACACAGCAGAGTCCGCTTTCTGAAGACCGATGTCTGCCTCTTGGCTTTTCCCATCCTTCTGCGTGTCGGGGGCCTTGACCACTCTGGCTATGCCTAGCTTCTTCAGCCTGTCCACCAGGTTCATCTTCAGCTGCCCCGCATCAGGAGGGTTCCGGGAAGGTCTCAAGCCATACATCTCCTGGAGGAACATCTCAGCTGGTCGAGAAGCCAAAAAGCTTTCAGAGAGATGCACTCGGGGCTCAAAGGCCACAGGAGAGGCGCACGGTGAGAGAGATGGGGAATTTGGCGGTGTGGAAGGTGTGGTCAGGGTTCTGGGGAGCAGCTGGAGAAGGGGCTTCTGGGAAACTGGGCTGCAGTACGCTTTAGCAGAGATGCCCCGCTCCTGTAGGAGTTTGGCCAAGCTCACGGTGCTGCTGAAGGTTGTGGTAGAGTCTCGCCAGCTGGTGATGGACTCACCGATGCTGAGCCGGTAGGACAAGGCTGGGGAGTTCACAGCGGTGCTCGAGGACCGGCTCCCGCTGCTTCCACAGGGCAGTGAAGGGAGCCCAGAGCTGAAGAAAAAGAGGGAGAGAGTTTAAGACTGAAAGTAATCACAAGCTGCTATTTAATTTGTATTAATACCTCCATTCCCTAAAGTGAAATATATACCAAGAAACAATAATCCCTGAGTAGCAACTCTTCAGCTTTTTAATAAGACCCAAAATGCTAAAATGTTTATTTCTAATTAATTTTTAAGTTCTATGTCACTGAGGGACAAGAAATGCCTATTAAATTTCCATTCTTCTCAAGAAATGCTAATTTCAAACAATGCTAATATCCATGGAAACTTGTCCTGGAATATATGCTTCTAGAAAATTAAACATAATTAAAAGCTTTGACAGCAATTACAGTATTTCTTCTTATTCTATGTTAAGAAGAAAAATAAGAAATCATGTACTGAAGGGAATGGCAATGGAATGGACAGGGTTTTTCTTTAGCCAGCTGTCCACTCTGAACAAATGTTTACGAGTATTTAATAAATGTTTACTTCAGTACAGAATACCACTATATTGTATCATAACTGTTAAAGATTATGAACAAAATACAAGTTTAAGAGTAATAAATAAACTTTCTACAACAACATTCATTCAAGCACATTTTCCTCTTTGGTTAAATCAACTGAACTAAGAAGCTCTGATCTGGTGCAGTCGATATTCTGATTGGTGCCCAGTCTCTAAATTCCCTCTTCCTACTTCACTGTAAAATTGCCCATCCTTTCCCAACTGCAGACTTCATTTCCAATTTTATAAAACTTATCTTGGTGACAAGAAAAATACAGAAGAACTGTAGGTATGTTTATTATAGACTTTACTGGGATCTTTACTGGAGGTAAACAGTTGATGTGCTATTTTATAGGCACTGTGAATCATAACTGTATTTCCCTCTACACTGGCTAGAAAGTTAAGATTCAAATACATGAGTTACCTTAGCAGGTATTCCAAGACTTCTCACACAGTGTGTACACTAGGGTTCATTCTTCCACCCTTTACACCCTAGCTCCTGGGCCCTCTTTGCATTATCTTTATTTTCTAGTTCTAGTAAACATCCCTACCAAGGTCAATGTACTTCTGAAAGCTCCCTTAGCTTCTTTTGGGCATTGTTAGGATAGAGACAGCATCCATGTGGATTACAAAGGAAGCCCTTGTAGTAAGTGATTTGGCCTTGTCTAGAAAGTCTGCCCTCTACTCTGGGAGGCAATCTGAATCGTAAATGCTAGAAGTGGCTTTAGACGGAGTAGGGAATGGTCGAACTAGATCTCAGGGTGGGCCTGGCCGTACCCAGTAACCACAGGATGAGGTCTGGCCATGCCAGAAGAACCAACAGTGTGATTTAGAGTGGGGGCTTTGGGTCATGCAGAGTTAGTTGTCCAGGAGGCCGAAGCTTCAATCACAATAAAAACTCTGGACAATGATGCTTGGGTCAGTTTCTCTGGCTGGCAATATTCCATGCACACACATCAGTGTCAAGAGAGTAATGAATCCCAAGGACAAGGAAAGTGTCATATGTACAATCCCCAGAGATTGTCCTTTCGTTTCTCCTTTGGATAATCTCATCCTGTGTCCTTTCCTTACGAGCTCAGCCACAGGTGTCACAGGTTTCTGATTCCCATTGGAAGCTTCTGGGACCCGAGAACTCGAGCTTGGCCTCAGAAGCGAGGGTGTCGTGTGCAGAGCCCGGTCCCTCACATCCTGGAGTCTGGCAAGCTCTGAGCACAGCCTAGGCCAAGATGTCTGCTGGCTGTCTGCCCTTGGACCAGTAACTTGAACTTTTATGCCTCTGTTTTTTCATTTTACAAAGTATATAGTCAGTTTGTCCTGCCTGTTTCAAAGTTATAATGATCAAGTGAGAAAATACAACATGATACTCTAAAGACAAATGATCACAGAATACTAATTAAAATCTGGGTATTAAGATAGATGGTAACTTAAAAAAGATTCATGTGAGGCCTCAGATTACCCAGGCCTCCTTACCTCGGGGTGACCTGAGTGACATCAGAGGGATGTAATATCCTGCAGGTGGTGAAGGTGAACGTGGAGTTCGTGCATGACAGACACTTCCCTGGGTTGGAGGTTGCAACTGAAACAGATTTTTAGAGTTGTTGTTTTTTTGCCGAACAGAAAATTGGAAGGCTAGGTTAATAATGTAATAAGCTCATCATTATTTATTACTAACATAGCATTTATCAACTTCCTTTGTAGTAAAAGTCCCTAAATATGGAAATGAAATATACATAGATTATAGTAGTATTAACTGGCTAGTGTGGAGCTGAATCCTTCAAAACTTCAAAAACTGTACATAAAAGGCAAAAAAAATTATAAATGAGAGAAAATCATACTCTGAATAAACACATTAAAAACATCAAAAAAATAAGATCTAGTCGTCTAAAGTACTCAGCTGTGGTTTTCAAGTGTGGTCTTGTTGACTGTGGGCGTCTACAGATCAGAATTACTTTCAACAGCAATGCTAGGATGGACCCTTTTCCTTTTGATGGGGCTGACATTTGCATTCTCAGTACAATAACAATAGTAGGTTAAAGCACTGGCTCCTTACGTGAATCAAGGATGTCACAAGGTTACACGTGTATTTATCAGTTTTACACTCACAGTATGTAAAAAAGTCAGGTTTACCTAAGAATGTCTTTGGTGAAGCAGTAAATATTACCCATTTAGTCTTTGTTTGTTTTTGAGACATACATATATATATATTCCCCCCACGCCCAGATAGGCCTCAAACCTACTATGAGTAAGTTACACACAGTGATTCTCCTGCCTCAGCCTCCCAAGTGCTGAGATTACAGGCGTGTACCACCAAGCCCAGCCAAGCTTTGCTGAGATTGTACCAACTACCATTCACACATCACTTGTGGGTCAGTGATACTGAGGACTGCACAGGATCTTAATCACTATTGTATGAACCACATGAATGTCCAGATAGTCTCTATTCTTTGCTTCAAACCAGTCAAATTTTTATAACATTTGAAAATAGGTAGAAATACATATAACTATAAAGTAAAGCCCGTAGGGTGTGCAACCGTCATCCCAGCACTCTGGAAGCCCGGCCTGGGCCATTTAGCAAAACCTCATCTCAAAATAAAAGGGCTGGGGATGTAGCTCATTGCAAAGGCCCTGGGTTCAATCCCCAGTTAAGATTATTTTTCCTATTTTATTTTCAATTCTTTCTACAGTGATATTTAAATAAAGACTATAATATAATAAAACAAAATTATTGGATCAGTGCCTCAGTCCATGCAGCTCCATATTATAGAAAGAAAAAATCCTCTCAGGTTTTCGGGTATCATACAATCGAGTTTTTCCTCCCAATTAAGTCTTGAATCTCGGTGCCTGAATCTCCTCGCTGTGCTGTGCAATGACAGTAAGTGTGCACTCAGAGACGATGATTACCCTGAAGAAGAGCACTTGCAGTTGAGCTGAAACTTTGTCCCGACAGGACACCATTTTTACTTGAAAAAACAACAGAAAAGCGATTCAGAATAGAGTATTTGGCATGTTCTTAAAAATGAATGAAGTGAGGGCCTGGGATTTAGCTCAGTAGTGCCGGTGCCTGGCTGGCAAGTGGAAGGTCCCGAGTTTGATCCCCAGTACCAAAAAAAAAGAATGAAGTGAGCCAGGTGTGGTGGCGCATGCCTGTAACCCTAGCACTCAGGAGGCTCAAGCAGGAGGATCGTCATGCGTTCGAGGCCAGCCTGGGCAACATGGATAGCAAGACCCTGTCTCATAATACTGCAAGAGACTAAATGTAGAAACTGATAATGAGAATCTAATAATCCAGTTATATTCTAAGCCAGGAGTTAGAGGTTTGCAAAATCACAAAACAAAGCTATTTTATCTATTTTTCAAAAATAGCTACTTTCCTAGAACATGGTATTTGTGTAGCACTTACTTATAATTTTATTAAAGTATTTATTTTTAAGTGAGTTAGTATTTTAATAATTCCTTAGTTTTGATTTCTAATGTAGTAAATACCAACAGATAAAACCCACACAGATACACCATCTGGAATTCTCAAAGATTTTTAATATAAAGATCCTGAGACCAAAAGGTTTGTGAACCACTGACTAAACCGGTCTCTTTCTGCTGAATCTACTTATGTAGGTTGGCTAGGATGAAGTGGAGAGAACTGGGGTTGTTACTAATGCTGTAGATTTTCATTACAATAACTATAAATATTAATATTACATATGAGATACTGTGGTACCATCTAACAGTAATAATATACTGACATCGAGCACACTCCAGTGAGGTTAGAGCAGAGGTAGCTGAGGGAGTGTGAACGCAAATTCCTTTTGGTTACTGGGTCATGTTCAGCCAAGCCATCTTCTCACCTGTAACAGGTCCATCTGCTGAAATGATGTGTGGCAGGAATATCCCGACTGCTGGTTTGGACACCTCAGGTTCCTGCTCCCCTTGAAGAGGCTGCTGAACCCGAAAAGTGATTCCCTCCTCTTCATCCTCCTCTAAATCTGAGATGTGATAGATGGTAGTATCCTCGGGCAACTGGGTAAAGCCTTTAGTAATAACACCTGGTCGTGTGTCAAGAATGGTCCCCAAATTTGGTTGAGCAAGCTGCTGCCAGTGGTGTAGAGTTTGTGATCCTGAATATGGAAGCCAAAAGGGAATAAAAAGAGGTATTTTGTTAAAAATTTGCAAATTAAAAGTTCTCAGTGGAAAACTGACAAGATGAAGATATGAATAATCTTTCTCTTCTAAAATAACTTTAAAGAGGACATCTAAGGAAGGGGAGAAACAACCAAGAACTCTTCATAGGAACCAGGATGCTGAGACTGTGACAGTGTGCACTGCAGAGGGGGATGTGTTTCCCTGGCCTGGGACCAGGCCTATGAATTTGGAAGTCAAAAGCCAGGGTCCTAGGCTGGAAGATAATTTGGATTCTCAGTAGTTTGTTTGTGCTGATCCCCACCTGCTCAAGATTCTCCTTCCTCTGGGTTCCAGGGAGAACAGGAAACAGAGATGATAATGAGGAGGGCACATCCTGTGGTTCTAGTCTAAGGGACTTGGGTGAATGACCATCCCACGCATTCGCACCAGACATAACAATGAATTATGTCACCATGGTCATTTCATCCTAAAAATGGGAACTGACAAATACCTGGATGAAGTTACAGAGCCTCTGAGTTTGTGGCATCCTTTTAGGTTACCTACTCAAATTTCATTTAATGCAGAAATATCTTACAACAATGTCAGCAAAAGATTCAAAGACTGTCAATATTCCATAAAACCTAGAAGTTTAAGTTCTATCTTAGAACAGAAACTGAACTGAAAAAAGAAAAATACAGGCAGACACACCTCTAAGTCAATTATATTTCTAAAGGACTGTGGGTTAGATCTAGAATATCCCCCACACCCTCATATGGTCAGAGGTGCAGCTTTTGGGATGTGATGGAACTGTGGTGACACTGTACTCATCAGTGGATCTGTCCGTTTATGAGTTCAGTAGTTGAGTGGTCAGGAGGCAGGGCCTGGTTAGCTCACACCAGGGCTGTGACCTGGAAGAGTGTCCCCTCCTTGGCTCCTGTCTTTTTGCTCTGTTTCCAATGCCAGGACCTGACCAGCTTTCCTCCTCTAGATCCTCCCTCAGGCTCTTCCTGCCTTGGAGCTGGCCAACCATGCAGGGGCTGAGACTTCCGAAACCGTGAGCCAAGATAAACCTCTTCTCCCTTAAGTTGTAGGTGTCAGGTATTATGTCTCAGCAACGAGGAAAGTGGCCAAGAAGCTGGGTTAAGCATGTCTTTTAAATAGGAAGGTGTAGGGCTGGGGATTTAGCTCAGTGGCACCATGCCTGCCTGGCAAGTGTGAGGTCCTGAGTTCAATTCCCGTGGAAAAAAAAAAGGAAGGTGGATATGAAATATTAGCTCTACACCATTCTCATTTATCACATTCCACTTATCTTACCATGGAAAATGCTATCAATGACATTCCTCAGCAAAGGACAGGAAAGATTCCTCTTCCCCTTTTACATTTATATTAAAAGTATCAGTGAACTGATGGCTGCAGACTTAAGAGAATGCAGACTTCTTTATTCACAAATTTTCCAAGTACTTCAATGCACGGCTGTCCAGACAGTGAGATTTAAAGATAACAAGGGGGTCTCTACACACAGTACTCTTATTACAACATGAATCTCAATTCTGGGGAAGGGAAAGTCCAGGAAATTGTGTGGCTTGGAAAGGGTCCATAGTGACTTATTACCTTCAAGGGGCTTGACAATTTGTAATTTCTCTGGCATAAATCCTCGAAGGCAACTGGCACTGCTGATCTCCGACTGGTCAGTGCCCAGGGAGGCAAGGCTCTCCGGGGGTGTGTCACAGCCACTAACCCCTTCTTTCTGGTCAGCCAGAACCTGGATCTTCCGTTCCCACTCTTCAGCAAAGAACTGCTTCTCACTGAAGTGGTTCTGCCGACGCAGGCTGAGACGATGCAGTGCTATATCCAAATCACTATCTCCAGAGGGTCCGGGCTGGCTCGTGGGCTGAGAGCTGCTATGGGAGAATCACATGCATGATTAGATCCAAGGGTCAGGGGCACAGTCTAGAGCCCTCCTGCTTCGTGGTGAACATCCAGGAGACCACAGTCTTACGAATGAAGTATTTTCTTAGCTACCTGGAATGCAGAAACGATTACAAACCCAATCACTGGCACACTAAGTATCTTTCATTCTTCCCAGTGCTGGTGGTAGAACTCAGGGACAATGCACTGAGTTACATCCCAGGCACCTGGTGTTTTTCCTGAGACAGGGTCTCACTAAGTCACAGTACTGCTTATAGCGATCCTCCTGCCTCAGCCTCCCAGGTGCTGGGATCACAGCCATAAATAATTTCTATAGATCATTTCAAATGGCTTCAGAGAAGCAAACAATCTATTTGTTATGCTGTGTTTGCTAACTTTCCTATTTCGTTTAATTTATGAAACTACATATATGCCCATCAATATATGTAGATTAGGTAATCATAAAAGTAAATATTCTCAATTTCACTGCTCTATCATTGACTGGAAGAGGTACCACTATTTTATGCATTTTATGAAGAAAGAGAAAATGCTTCCCAATAAACTATTATATACCATCAGTTGCAAAACAATTTTAAAAATAATAATATGCCGGAGATTTAGCTCAGTGGTTTTGCTGTCTGGTGCTCAAGCATGAGGACCTGAGTTCGATCCCCGGTACCCAAATAAATAAATAAATAAATAAATAAAACATAGTAATATGCGGAAAAAATTTGCTTTGGGCCATTGAATTCCCCACAAACATTGCAGAAAATTTTAAAGAGAACAGCATTTGTATAAAACTATGTTTTCATAGTCTTCTGGTACACATTTTCTCACATTCCAACATTTGAAAGCAGGAGAGTATTTTACAACTGACTCTGAAGGAGGGGCTGCAGTTGCTCCTGGCCAGCACGTTTCCCTTAGACCTGTTTCAGGGCTCTCTGAACACAGCTGTGCAACACTGAGGCCTGTCTGACACCTAAGGCCCCTGGGGCTCAGAACACTGCTCAGGACAGACCAGGAAACGCATCGACACCTCACAGATGGGTTTGTGTTTCAGGAAGAGACTTCCCCAAGATGCCTACAACTATCTTTCAAAGGCTTTTGACTAACTTTCCAGTAAAGTGGTTTAACTTCTAGTTTATGGAATTCAATGAGCTGAATGAAAGGAAGAAAAAAAGTCTAAATGTAAACAAGAAATTAAGAGCTACTTTGCACTTAGCAGTATACACTTGATCTTAGCCAAAAGGCCGAGAAGCGATACTTAGCAGTATATACTTAAACTTAGTATGAGTCCCCAAATCACCAAAGTGTTTGAGATTATGAACATCGAATAGGAGAAAATGTGACCAATGCATTTATGCTAATGAGCAAATCGATTCAAACAATTCGTACTTTGAACATGAAGCTTTACACATATTTTGCAACACTATAGTAGTGAAGAACTCTGAAATTAAAGGCAATCTCTGTTTTGAATACTTTAATGTCTTTCCATTCCAATAAATTTTTATGGAATCAATGATGTACCCTACAAATAATGATGCAGGGTATTAAAACTGAATGAAGGGGCTGGGGATTTTTAGCTCAGTGGTTCTGCCACCTGCCTCGAAAGCACAAGGTCCCAAGATCAATCCCCAGTACCAAAAAAAAAAAAAGAAGAAAAAAAAAACCTGAATGAAAACTGACAGTTCCAGAACTTCATGGGACAGAAGAGAGAAATGCTTGAATTTGAGCACGTGACACTCCCACATCAATGCCAAAGAAGTGCACAATTCCTGTCATAATGTTTTTCTTACTCTGGAACCTCCTTGGAGTCACTCCCCTGGCCCAGCAGTGTTCTGTCCTCTGTCTGTTGTACACCAGACTCGAAAGGTTTTGTCGTCATGATGACACTTGAACGGTTGGATCCTGGGATGGGTAGCAGAGCTGGAAGAGGCACAGAGCGGCCCTGTGTGTCACTGGCAACCTTGACAGTATCAAATACCCGTTTCTGTTGGGCTCTGTCAAAAAAGGAAGCATTCATTACCATCACTACTCACTAGCAGAGTGTTTTAGAAGAGTTATGTGTGTGAAGTTCTGCAGAAAGTAAACTTCAGAATAAGAGAACTCTGCTGTGAGGACAGTGTAAGGGAAAAATTGAATAGTAAGCAAATTTACTTCTGAATTTCTTAACACCACTTTGGAGTGCGGCTTCTTTTTATTTTAATGATGCTGCTGTTCAGACCTAGGGCCTTGCACGTGTGCAGGAAGTGCCCCACCACTGAGCTGCATTCCTGGCCCTACAGATCTTTCAGTGGATACCAACAATGTGACCCGTACTTACTTTTGTTTAAAGAAAGAAGATTCCTCATCCAAAACCAACTTTTTACGCATGGTCCTCTCAATCTCAGCTGCCAAAGATTCCTAAAAAAAAAAAAAAAAAGAGTTTGCGATTCCTAAAGTGATTATTGCTTTTAAATTGATTAAGAGAGTCTCTACAAGCCTGTATTTTGGTGTTATAGTAAAAGACACACACACACATAGTCATGGACTACAATTCAGGGACTAAAAAAGAGACACTGTAGAAATTTACTTTAAAGCAAGAACCAACTATCTTTTCGTGAAATATTTTTTACAAGAATGCAATGGAAAAATCAATTTGATAAATAAAAAATACTTTGTGTACAGATGCACAAAAACAAAAGGTCAGGAAGGCCATAAACCAAGTGCTAATTGTGATTCTGTGATTCTTCTTGCTTTTCTGTAATTCCTAACTTATCTACAGCAAACATGTATAGTTTTTATGATATTAGGAAAACAAATTAAAACTATGCAAGTTTCTTCTTCCCCTAGTCAGAGATGAGGATTCAGCTGGTACACGTGACACACACAATGGGGCTGAACTGAGAATGATGGGATTTGGGGCACTGGTGTCAGCTTATGATTTTTAAGACATATGAGTAGAAAGACAGACATATGTACAGTGTGGCTGCACAGATGAAATACACAGATGAGTTTCCCAGTTCTATCCACTGAGAGGGAAGAAATGGTACTCTAGTGGCAATGTGTACACACATCTACCACCCAGGTCTGGGATTCAGACCATATTCCTCAATTAGTGTTACCAGAGGGCCGGGGATTTAGCTCAGTGGCACCGCGCCTGCCTCACAAGCGCAAGGCCGTGAGTTTGATCCCTGGTACCAAAAAAAAGGTGTTACCAGAGCTCCTAGGACAAAGGGCTGATTCCAGGGCTGAGACAGAGAGTGCAAGAGGAGCTTGAAAGAGATCCTGCTGGCCACAGCTGGGACAATTTGACTATCAAGTAATAGTAATGGCTTACAATCCACCGACTAATACAGGAACCACTGAGTCACACTGAGAGAACTAAATGAACAATGAGTAAATGTGACAGAAGAGGTCTTAAAAGAGAACCATTCATAAATGTTGAAAAATGATGGAACTTGGAATTCCCAATGGTCACAGTAATAACAGATAGATTAGAACCATCAATGGGAGCTAAAATTAGTGGACAAAAGTCTGATGAGGAAGGGGATATTTAGTTTCAAAGTATCTCTCTATAAAACATTAACTTTGATCAGTTAGTTAAGTAGTATCTGCAGATTTTCATCACTGCTCAATGAATTAGCAATTTAGTTAACTACTATTATTAATTTTACAGTGAAAAAATCAGCAGATGACTACCTTAAGCAGGAAACCAAAGTTAATTAACACTGCCGGGCATGGAGCTCAGTGGTGCCGCTGCCAAGCGCAAGGTCGAGTTTGATCCCCGGTACCACAAAAAAATGAAAACAAAACAAAACTTCTCAAAGTTAATTAACATCACCAGTGATGGGGTAAACTGACATCATATGCTTACTGATATGAGGCACTGAATATAATTATTTCTGCCAGAAACACATTAACTAAATTTAATCAGAGAAATCTAAATTGAGGACATTCTATAAAGGTCATGAAAAATACCCCAGGTGGAAACAACTGAATGACACGTGTTGCAGATACTACTGGGAGAATGTCGAGCCCACTTCCTGATGGCGACAGCCGGACTGTGATCATGCTGGAGTGTCCTCCAGACTCCCCTTGTTTTTAATAAACACGCACTAAAATGAGACATCTAGATAAATGGTGTATGAGAGTTCTTTGTATTATTTTTAGAAATTTATTCTAAGTTTAAAATTATTTCAAAGTAAAAATTAGAAAACAAAACTGCTGCCCCTGTAGTCTTAAGAAAATATATTAAAATTTATAGTTCTGGTCCTTTAAAATATTTCACAGGAAGACTGGGGATGTAGCTCAGTGGCACAAAGCCTGGCTGGCAAGCACAAGGTCCTGAGTTCAATTCCCAGTACTCCCCCATTATAGGAGTGCATATAAATGTTTAAGAAATAGGTTGTAAAAATAACTCTTTGAGCCAACATTACAAATTCTAACATAAACTAAGAAATTTCTTATCATTCAGAAAAATACTATCATTAATGAATTAAACATAATTCCTATTCTCAGAGGGCTTACACTCTAACTGGAATTAAACATATCAGGAAACTCAAGATTTATTGAAACAGGGTATATTTTTGAGAACTGTTTCAACAAGTGGCAGACTGGAGGCCTAGGGTTAGACCTTGGTTAAGGAGCCCTATGGTACACAGATTTAAACCTAACTTTCTGATGGTTCCTCTCACTTATTACATGGCATCTAAAAGGTCATCTGTTAGAATAAACAAGAACAAAGGAGGGTGCAGACATACAAATTAAGGACAAATCACATTCTGTCTTCTTGAGATACTTTACCACATCATATTGATATCACTATCAGGACAATCTTATCTTAACAGCTTCTTTAAACACACAGCATCTTCCTCCGTTCCTCACCCCAGTAAAAGGTCCACAGGACGGGGAGAAGTAGAGATGAGCAGCAGGGCCAGATCTACTACGAAGTTCCTTTATTTCTTCTTGGGATTCGTGTAACATCCCCAGACACTCCATGTTCCTGTCTTGTAACTCACGCAGCTGAAAGGAAGGGTGGTAGTGGACTTTATCACTTTCACAAAAGAAACACATAACCTCTGGAAGTAAGTGTTAGTCTCATTCAGGGGCTAGCTGACTTTGTGAACACCATTTAAATAGGAAGACTCTGAAACAAACTATGCAAAGAGAATACATTATTTAAAACTGCCAAGATTAGGGGTGGCTTGGCCAGAAATATACACAAACAGGACTCCCTAAAACCTGAAACATAGCCAAGACAGTCAGAACTGCCAATTCAATATTTAATGCTTCATACCCCAAAACTTAAACAGGAAGTGTAACAGCTATGGTGAAGTTAAGTTTAGCATGGTATTAATCTTTCCATTAACATCACTCTGAAGTCTGTAAATGACATGATAGACTCTACATTTGATGTCAGGGCACTGAACCATCCTAAGGAAGCAGTTTTCTTCCTTTTGGGATTCATGAACCTTGGGATTCAGAACCTTCTTTTACAGCTAGATGCACAAGTCTGATAAATGAATATATAAATTTCAACTGAAAAAATTCTTCAAGTGTAGTATGGGGGTACCTGCTTATTGGAATCACCAGGGCTGGAGAATTTCATTAAAAATGTACATTCTAAGTCAGGCATAGTGGCACATGCCTGTAATCCGAGCACTTGGAAGGCAAAGGTAAGAGTATTGCCACAAGTTTGAGGCCAGCCTGGGCTACACAGTGAGTTCAAGGACAGCCTGAACTACAGAGCTAGATCCTATCTCATCAACCACTCCCCCAAAAAAGTACACTTTAGGTTTCACTCCAGATCCAATAAATTAGAAATTCTTGGTGGGGGAGTTCTGGGAATCTCCATTTAAAACTTGCTCTCCCAGGTGATAGGGATGCTACATCACCAGGAAATTATATCTAATATAAAAAATATGTGTATAGACAGAAATTAAGATTTTTGTTATTTTTCTTGACATACTTGCAAACACTGTTAGAAATCATCCTACTTTAAAAACTAATGGGCTAGTTAAGGTAGACTGATAAGTGTTCTGTACTCCTGAAGAATCTTATGAAAATCAAGATTTTCCCAAAATCAATGACACTGCCATTACTGGTTTTAGAAATAAGATTTTCTTAAGTGATTTCCTTCTTAGATCTTATAATTTTCCCTTAACCTTTTGTTGTTGCTGTTTTTATAGTTAGTAATTCCCCTTTAATTCTTACTCACAAAGACAATGGAAGCTCCTCATTCCTGCCCTCCTGAACCACACAAAATAAAGGAAGAGTTTTTACCTCCATCGTCAGCTGGCGCTGGGCATCTTTGGAAGCTTGCAGGTGAAGTCTTAGCTCTTCCTTCTCAATTACATGCTAACAACATATGAAAGAAGACACGTGAGGCCTTCCTTCCTATATAAAATGCTATTCTCCCCCTTTTAAAGCCAACTTGAGAGTTTTCTTTCTTGGGTGCAGTTCTAAGGTCTTATCTTTCAAAAACCAATTAAGGGCAACAAAATGGGAAGAACACAAAATCCACAAAATGTTCAGAAGACAATGAGCATGAGTTAATAATTTACACCACAACTTTCCAAGGAAAATCTAACTCCATTCACAGAAACAGTGACTTGAAAATAGTTACTCATGACATTCTAGCAAATAAGACTAGAGCAGCAATCAGACTAAGGCATTTAAAAGGGCACAGGGCCTAACAAGTGTCAGCTGAATGAGTGAATGACCTTACTTCCTTAAGTCTGTGCTGAAGATCTACAATCTGAGACAACAGAGAGGAGATCTCTTCTTGGTATCGAATTAGTTCATCACTCTTCCCTGACAATTCTTCAGTCATTCTGGACATCTGAGCATTTGTTTCACCTTCCAAGAAAAATAAACATTTAAAAATTAATATAAAGGTAGGTCAGGTGTTGGCAGATGACAGCTTACAGGCCAAATTCTGATTTATAATAAGCACTGGACTATCATGAATAGATTTTTCTTCAACATAAATTAGAAAAATGAAGATTTTTCTGAGATAGGCTGATGCTGGGAATTGAGTAGGGGAAATGACACATAAAGGGAAGAGGGCAAAAGGTTTTGCTTAATTTTCTTTATGAAAAAGATATTTATTCCAATCTTTCTCTTTATGAAGGATAAAAAGGCTGAAAGGAGAGCTAAGTGAATTATATATTCTTGCAAGTGTGAAGAGTTAATTTTACTTACATCTTTGAGAACTCTCCAGGGCATAAATAAAATCCCACAAGCAGCAAGAATTAATCCTAACAAATCTAACACAGGGAGTTTTCTGGAATAGAGTAGTCACAATCTACGAGAACATGTGATGAAGCTTCCGAGCTGCTTTTGTAGCAGATTCTCCAGGGTACTCAGCGAACTGAGAGGGCCTCAAGAGGAACTCTTAGGGCTTTGCCTTCTTACACCCCATGAAATAGGACTTTAGAACCCACTGTGGAAATTAAAAACTTGACTGCATACAGAAAGTCTGACATCTAAACACAAACAGAAAAACTTTCTCATTGTCACATAAAACTTTCTTAACTGACAGAAAGCTTCTTGGATTTCAAGGATGGAAGAAGGAGGCAGGAGTCTTGGATTTTAGTTTTTGGGAAAGTCACTTCTTGTTTTTTTTAAATGTCAGGTAATAGCAATGAAAGAGAAGATTCAATCACATCTCTTCTGGTTTTCCAATAGTCTTACTCTAAGGTATCTTATTTTGAGACCCACAGCCAAGCTGAACTGACATGACATGATCATGTATCTCTTTCGAAAAAAAGACTGTATTTATAGCCAGGTGTGGTGGTGCAGACCTGTAATCCCAGCACTCAAGAGGCAGGAGGATCACAGTGAGTTCAAGGCCAGCCTAGGCTATATAGTGAGTTCAAAGCCAGCCTGAACTACATATTGAGACTCTGTCTCAAAAAACAAGACTATATTTATAGAAAAACTAAGTATTTTTTTAGTAAAACTGGCATTTTTCCATGATTTACTTTTTGTTTTTCTTTCTTTCTTTTTTTTTGTACTGGGGATCAAACTCAGGACCCTGCACTTTCGAGGCAGATGTGGTGCCACTGAACTAAATCCCTGGCCCCTGCATGATTTATTTTTAAAATATTAGTCATTGGTTTTTGTTTTGAAACAGGAGCTTGCTATGTAGCCCAGGCTGGCCATGAATTCATGGTGGTCTTCCTGTCTCAGCTTTCTAAGTGGTGGGATTACAAGTGTGCGGCACTATGTCCAGCAAAAAATCACTTTAATTAACATTGCCTCAAATCAAAATATAGTCCTTTAAAGACACATTGTTGGTACTTGGTAAACACTCACTGAATGTCAGGTTTTTTGCTGTCTTTTAAGGCCAGGCTCTGCCACTAGTCAGTTTTTCTGACTTCTGGCAAGTCCTATCGTCTATGGAGAGATACCCTCAGCAACAAAACGTGAGCTGTGCTTCCTTTCTGACATGTTATAGCTTATTTACAGAAACACAGGTCTTTACTTAATAATGACAATTAAATACATTTCTTACAAATACATATGTTGTCTTTTTTTTTTTTTGGTACTGGGGATCGAACTCGGGTCCTTGTGCTTGCACAGCAGGCAGCAAAACCACTGAGCTAAATCCCCAGCCCGGTGTCTTATTGGGAGTATGGGCTCAGTGTAACAGTCTGAGATGTTCAGTGACTGCTGTGTTTGGGTGTAGCTTGCCCCTTAGAGTTGTGGGGAAGAAAGCATGGCCCAGTGTGGTGGGGAGGTGGCGGGACCTCTTGGGTGGTCTCATGGGAGGTGTCTGGGGTCACTCGAAGTCTCTGGAAGACACGAGTACACACTAGGACACAGGCCCAGGTTGTGGGAACCCTCCAACACCAGAATTCTGAACAAACAAGCCCCTTTATAAGTCACCCAGTATCTGAAAAGACTCCAATACTCTGTTATAGCAAAACAAACCAGAAGAAGACATTAAGAATTTTACGGGCTGGGCATGTAGCTCAGTGGTTCCGCTGCCTGCCTCGAAAGCGTAAGGACCTGAGTTCAATCCCTGGTGCCAAAAAAAAAAGGAATTTTAAATTGCTTGTTCAGATGCTTCTATTGAAACCACTGATCGAATTTCTGAGTTGGAGATATCCTACCAAAGAATCGTCTAAAGGCTATGAAACAGTGTGTTCTTACTTACGGAGTTCTTTAACACAGTCACTGACCAGCTGTTGCTCCTTCTCTTCATAGGTAAAAGTTTCTGTCTTGATATGATAAGCCTTCAAGAAAAAAACGTCTGTATGTGATGCTATGGTCTAATGGTTTTACAGTAATAACTACAACAAGCTTTGCGGTTTGAAGATTAGTTTATCACTCATATAAGAAGAAAAAGATTCCAACCATTTGTCAAGCCGGCCACAAAATGAAGGTACGGAAATTGAAGCAGTAAACATCTGCCTCACTCCCTCAGGGCCTTTTCGTGCTCACTCACACCTTGGAAGCTGCATGTCTGTCAGATGAGTCTGTAGCTTCAGCCCAAGTGTGCTTGCTTAAACAGGACTTCCTTGACTTACGCTATTCTTCAAGCTCACAGACCTTTGTAACTTTCCAACACAGCTCATCTCCCAGTTACTTAGTTATTTGTGTAGACTCCACAAGATGTGTATCCTCTGCTGTAGCTATCCTTATTTTATTTGACAACCTGCTATCACCACTTTTCAGTGGGCTCCAGGTAACAGTGGAAGGTACAAATATCTTTGTCGGCCACCCCTAACTGGAATGCTATTATATTTCATTTCAATACTACCTGGACCAGTTTTATAACCTTTCAAGTAAAAGAAAATGAGAATGAACTGAATGTACTTTGGACCGAAGGGCCATATTCTCTTCTTCCAGTTCCTTGAGCTTTTCTTGCAACATATCCAACTGCAGCAAACCCTGAGATAAGCTAAAGGACTCATTGAACCGAAGAGGTGTAGAACAGCTGGAATCAGTTTCACTCTCTTCAGAAGCAATGGAGACGATTCGAAGCAACTCGTCTTTCTTGGACAGCTCATGCTGCAGCTGATTAACCTGCACATAAGAAGTGCTCGGTTAAAATATGCTCCTTATTTTGCATTAGTTAGATATAATATAGCTTCTAATTTATAGAACAGTTTTTCACCATAAAAAAAAAAATCACAAAATCAGCTGCTAGATTTGAATAACTCTAGGAACAAGTGCTAAAACAAGAGAAACTGATCCCAGATAATTCCTAAACTTCAGCTTTGTATCACCCAAAAAATATAACTTTTTCTATAGTATAGTATTCATACTCTACAATAAACAGGAATATAGGAGGAAATTTGTACAGAAGATAATAATGATACAATCACAACTGAAAACGAAACAAAACTGAAAAACTTTCAAAGTATCAGAACAGACCCCTATTTCAAATTCTCATCCTCAGGGCTTACACCTTTAAACTGTATACAACTGTCTTCCTAGGAGTAATAATTTTAGTTCTAGGGATAAATACTTTCAACATAAAGGTCTAAATTCTATCAACCATAATGTATTCATTAAATATAATTGAAACCAGACAAAAATAACAAGTCAGAAAATTTGAAATTTAACTGTTCAAGTTAATAATAAGATAATTTTACTATAAGCATTTATTGATATGGAACAAATGATTTTCAAATATTTCTTTTTTCTCCTACCTTCTATTTTGGTTTCTGAGTAAAGATACCTATATTTGGGTACTTATTTTTCTTTTTAGTTTTTTTCCCCTTCTTTTATTTTTACTGGGTACTTATTTTTAAAAAAATAAATTTAAAACCAGGCAGGGGCCGGGAATTTAGCTCAGTGGTGCCGCACCTGCCTCGCAAGTGCAAGGTCCTGAGTTCAATCCCCAGTACCACCAAAAAAAAAAAAACCCAAACAAACTAGAACAAATAAGTAATTTAAATAAATAAACTGAAAATCAGATCACAGACAAAGTGTACACACAAAGGCGTGGGGACAGTCCAGGAATCTAAGAAGCGTGTCACAGGCACTATGATGCTGAAAGGCTTTGAACTGATGAGAGCAGAGTACCCGAGCACTCTTCTGCATCACAGCATTTCACTCTCTACCGTTTAGCTCAATGGCTGTCAACAATTCAACAGGTACCAGTGTTACTGACCTACTGTCATCATTTCAGGGATGCCTGTGGAAAATATATTTCTGCACTGCATGAGATCTAATCATCTCATGGTACAAGTATCACATCCAAGGCTTACTTGATCAAAGGCTTGCCCCAACTGCTCCTCCAGGGCTTCATTCTGATCAGATAAGACATGATTCCGCTTTAAGAGAGCTTGTCCAATTCGAGCAGCTAGCTCCAGGTCACGATCCCTCTGTTAAAATACCAAATACATCTTTTCTTTGGGTACAGACAAAATTAGATAGCAATTTAGAAATTCTGCAGTTAATTTCAATACACTTTTTCAAATGTCCTAGAAAGCACTGAGATTCATTTTAACACGCAAATACCATAAAGGAATGTTTAACAAATTTTGGTCAAATATTATGTTTATAAATGCAAGAAGGAATCTCTTTTCTTGACATCAAGTGAGATGGTATTGATTATCCTAGTCATTAGGACCCAATAGTTCAACCTTTAGACTTACATAAGTTTAGGGAATTAGGAGATCGACATAAGACAAACAAAAGGAAAAAGAAAAAGAAAGTCAACATAGACTTTGAGGAAGGTGAGGTGTTGGGGGTATAGTTCAACGGCAGAAGCACTTAGCAGGCTGGAGGCCTTGGGTTCAATCTCCAGCATATATACAGACACAGAGAAACACACACACACACACCATGTATAGTAAAAGCCCCCAAATACGTTGAGAGGAACTGTGCAGGAAGCAGAGTAATGATACAGAATAAGGTCTTTATGACACAGGAACCAGGTGAGTATGTTGAAAACAGTTCCATCTAGAGCATACTCACATGTAGTCAGACCCTGCGACTTAAGAGGACAACACAGCCAAGAGCTCTGCCGATAACTGGTACAAGAATGACAATGTGAAATAAAATAGGAATAAAAGATTGGGCATTTTGAGACTAGAGGATTCAGCCTAGACTACAGAGAAGGAGCTATGATGCTGCTGGTGTGATGCAAGGAGGCCTGCAGGGAGGGTCAACCGGGTCTACTTGGTCACTTTTTTGGACAGATGAGCACTTGGCAAGGGCACGTGCCTGACAGTGATCATGATTTTATTTATAGGATGAAAAACCGTCTATACTTAATCTGCTTTACAGATGAATGTGGGTTCTGCTTTCATTAATCACTTAATGAGTAAAATTAAGCTTCTCTGCTTCCTCTCCATGGCACATGAAAATGGATGGATTATCTTTGCATTACAAGGCCACGTATCTTTTAGCCACACATGAAAGTCCTTCTGGGGAACTGGGCAGAGAGGACAGAAATGCACACCATGGAGAAAGTCTTTCACAAGATCAAGTGAAACTGAGTACAGAAGAGAACACCTTGACTGCCAGTTTTACCACTGTGCATATTAAAAATGCCATGGCCAGGGTGAGCTCAAAGAGCCCACACGAGGAGTAAACAACGGGAGATGCTCCCACCTGCAGGTGCTGGTCTGCAGTTGAGCTTCTTCTTGAACGGGCAGCTCTAGCCCAGGATAAGTAATAGCAAGGACAATTTTAAAACCATTTTTTTTCCTAGGAAAGGTAGCCAGCTGGCACCACATCAATCAATCTTCCCATCATCTACAACTTCACTACAAACTTCAGGAACCATCTACCCTGGAATGCCAGTTGGTATGCCAGTTGTTCCCACTGCAACCACCTTACACTAAATAACCCCAATAACATGTCGTCTTTTAACTGATAAACAATTTGACAGTTTCCAAATAATCCTCAAGTTTTAGCTTTTTGTACTAGAGAAAAAAAAAGATGTGTTCCTACCTCTGCCAGGAGATGTGTAACCATGTCAATGTCATTGTATGTTTTGGTCATCTGCTCCACCCTGTCTGTGCCTAGAACTAAAACAGTTAAAAACAATTATTTATAGGCCTCAGAAATAATAGATAATTTTAAATACTGGTAAGAATTGAAAGATAATGAGAAAAATTATAGGCTCAACGGTAGGAAACGAGATAAAGGCTTAAGATGAAAATACAGAACTTAAAAAAAGCTTAAGTATTTTTACTCCAAAAGAATTCATATTCACAAGTAGAGAAAGTGGCCCTTTAATCTAACCATGGTGCTAAGAAAAGAGGCAATTGAGAGTAAGGAACAGACCATTTTTCAGACAACTAAACTGGGTGGCAGAGCGAGAACAAAGGATTACAAATTAAGGCAGGTGCCTATAATCCATGCTTTCTTCTACTTCTACGTCAATAACAAATTAGGGGAAAATTAAATCAATACATCTGTGCTCTAAACTAATTACAGAAAACTAGCTAGTGGGGCTGGAGGTTCAGCTCAGTGGCGCCAGTGCCTGCCTGGTAGGAGCAAGGTCCTAAATTCAATCCCGGGTTCTGCAAAAAAATAGAAAACCAGCGAGAGGCTGCAAAACCGAGAGTAACCTGGAGCAGAGGTGCTTAGCTACAGATTCTGATTGAATTGATCTGGAGCCTCGGGTAACAAGCAGATTCCCAAGTGTTATGATGTGCAGCCAGGACAAAACCACCAACCTAGGGCTAAAAGACACCCAAAGTGAGAACCAGGCACCCTGGGACCTCAGACAAACAGTGTTCAGATAACTGCTTTAAAAGTACACGGCACGTGAGGGTCCAGTATGCTGAGCAGGTAACAACTGTGACTGTGGGTCACACATGAAGAAAGGGGAAGAAAAAGGACACTAATACAGTAAATAAATGTTCAGAATAAAAATGTTGTAAAGAGGAAAAACAAAAGTGCATCTCTTATCACTAATGCTCACCACTTGTCGCAGTATGAGAATTTAAGTTTGCTAGTTCAACGATCTCATTTTCTCCTAAGACTTTTCTGAGAGGAATTATGTGACATTTCCAAGATCACAAAGCAAGCCACAAGTGGCAGAGTCAGGATTTTAATATGCAGGTGACAATGCTCAACTCACCATCATCAGAAAAGCTACAGCTCTTCCCGCCATGCTGCTGTTTCTACCACAGCCACCCTAAGATCAAAAAGCCCTCATCTAGGGGCCAGGGATTTAGCTCAGTGGTTTTGCCATCTGCTGGGTAAGTGCAAGGACCCAAGTTCGACCCCTGGTAGCAAAAAAAAAAAAACCCTCATCTAATGAAACACCAGAGTATGACATCCGTGAACACATGTTATAAAATAGCCCAGATCTCAATTTTGCCTTTTTTCTTTTTTTGAGACAGGGTTTCACTATGTAGCTCAGGCTAGCCTTAAACTCACAGTGATCTCCTGCCTTAGCCTTCTGAGTGCTGGGATTACTACAGGCACGCACCACCATGCCTGGCTCAATTTTCCCTTAAAAGTGGGAGCATAGCAATACATACCTGTATACAAGAAAGGTTGGAAGGATATACATTAGTATGGGTGGGTTTTTCTTTTTTTGGTGGTAGTATGGATCCATCCCAGGGCACTCTACCACTGAGCTAGACTTCCAGCCCTTTTTAATTTTTATTTCTCTCAAAATTTTTATTTTGAGAGAGGCTCTTACTAAGTGCCCTCAGATGAAACTTGAACTTGATTATCTTCCTGCCTTAGCCTCCCAAACTGCTAGGATTACAGGTGGGTACCTCTGCATCTGGCTTTAAAATATTAGTAGTGGTTATCTCTGGATAGGAATTATGGTTGATCTGTTGCTTTCTTTTCAGACTTCTTTGTGGGGGTTTTTGGCTAATTTCCCATGAAGAAAAAATGTTTCTGCAATCATAAAAAAAAAACAACTCTTGTTAAAAGGTTTCAAAATATAAAAATTAAATTTAAGTTATTTATATATTATGACAAAAAAGTTAGTGCAACCATAATTCTCTGATTCTTATGCTTTATGTGAAGCAGACTATATATAACCAACCCGAGACTAGGCCACCACAAAGCTGAAGGCTTCTTCCCTGAAAGCTCATCGGTGCTCTCTCTCCCTGATACATGTTTTGATAAGGACACTGCCTGATGACTCCAGAGGTTCTCTGCAAATCTCAGAGCTCTCCTGTCACTGAGCACAGTAATTAAATGCTGCAGAAGCCACAGACCAGGACTGACCAGCAGGCTGTCTTTATTATAATCAGTTGTATCAAAATCTAACAGTTCTCTGTCATTAAAGAAAAATATGTTAAATGGTACAGAAATAAGCAATGACCTTTTCTTATTTCCCCACATAAACTTTTCTGTATATCAGGGAGATGATAAACATTTTTACAGAACAATGTGCCACTTGAAATTTTATTTAAAAATATATATTATCACATAAAAAATTTTGCCACTTGATTTCTGAAGGTTGTTCACTAATATTCACTGTTTTTTGGGGAAATACTTGGAGAATCAATGTTTCTGAAAATAGGAGCTGTGTGGCAAATGAGCACTTTCCTGGGGTTTTTTTTGGTACCGGGGATTGAACTCCGGTCCTTGCGCTCGCGCAGCAGGCAGCAAAACCACTGAGCTAAACCCCCGGCTCTCTTTCCTGGTTTTTACTTTATGTTGTATCCGTGCCTAATTTCTCACACTATGTCCAGGAATACCAATGTCACTTCATTCTGCTGTCTGTCATTTACAAGAGATGGTGCATAACAGTTCTTTCACATGTCCCTTTCCAAGATACCACAATTTCTGAATTTTAAAAAGACTTCTAATCTTTCATTACTCTGCAACCTTCCCATACCAGCTCAAACCAAACCAAAATGACAACAAAAAATAAAAGAAAACACAAACACTGTCAACATGTGCAGTAAAATCTGCAAACAGCTCCTGATAACTACAGGCAGGGTGAGTGGTTTTAACCTGAAGTGAATGCAGCTCTTCCTTGTATAATACAGAAGACAATTCTGCAACATGGAAAACTGCCTTCTGAAGAACAGAGACAGAACAAAAGGAGAAAATGCACACCAGCCAGGCTGCCTTTCTCAACAGGGACCCCCCACCCACCGGGAGAATTACACACTGCAGACAATGATTTGAGGGACAAGTTTCCCAAATCTCTAGAGGAAGGCACAAAGCTAGTATACGATGTGTAGGTGTTAAGATTATACAACAGATGTACGAGGGCACATGCTTAATTCTCTTGTGAAACCAACTGAGAGGGCTGATCTAGGGGTATTATAAATCTGCTAGCCTTGAGGACCTGGCTGACGATTAACACTTTCTGAACATTATCAGTCACATTTTTTTTCATGCTAGTACAAGCTGATGATTTCTGAGGGCAGAATGTGAGGAAAAATATACGTACCAACGACAGGCAATAAATTCTGCAAGTATATTTATCTGTAAAATTGTACACCCTTCCTAATTCCTCGGTGAAATGGCTACTCACTTTGGTTTACCACGCTTCCTAGCAGTGGTTCTCAAACACGAGTGCACATCAGCATCACCAGGAAAACACATTAGTGCAGCCTGCTGGGTTCCAGCCCTGGTGCATCCAAGAATTTGCCTAACAAGTTTCCCGGTGATACTGATGGCGGGCCCACATTTTGAAAATGACTGCCTGAAATAAAACTTGTGTTACCAAACATTCTCCCTTCCTCTTTTTCTTATGCCTCAGAGAGTGGTGCTGGCAATCCTCTATTCCCAAATAAAATCTACGTTGTCTATTTTTGACCTCTTCACCAACAGATGGTATTTCCGGTCCTGTGTGTTTGGGTGCTACAGTTCGCCCATAGCTTACTGTCGGGCTTGCCTTACTGCAGTAAAATGAGGAAAACCCCGGATGACCTATTCAACACCTAAGACATTCCTTGAGCACCGTGAACTTCTTGAGCGAGTGTAGCAGGCACTGCTCTCAAGTGCTCTCAGTAAACAACCACTTTCTGGTTTGAGTCACTTCAGGAAAGCTCCCCGTCTTTACTGCTGTGAGAGAGGTTCCAACTGAAAGGCCCATGCTTCCCTCTAACAGCGTTTCCTTCTCACAGCTCTGTGCGTTACTTGTGAAGCATCTATGCTTGTGCCACCTCTCCTCCTCAGTGACTGGGCAGCACTTTAGTGAACACATGGATCCACAGCCCATGAGGGAAGCAGGAAGAGAGGCTCTGAGCCCTGGGATGGGCTGCCAGGAGGTGACAAGTTATCCAGTCACAAATCTGGACCCGGGGCACAGAGCACTGTGGGAAGAGAGGCCGGAGCACAGTTCAGTGGCAGAGGGCTTGTTTCACATTCCCAAGGCCCTGGGTTTGATCCCAACGCGGGCGCGCGCACACACACACACACGGGAAAAGAAGGTTCTATATTCTTGCTTTTTAAACTTTGTTCAATCATATGTACTAATAAAAATTTAAAAATTTAAATAAACTTTGCTCAATTCTCTAAAGTAAATCACTTATCTTTTACATTCATAAGATACAAATTCAAAATGTGATCATACTTGATTAAATTATTAACCCAAAGAATCGATGTCTTTAAAATAATAGTGAAATTAAACTATAGTACAGAGATAAATTAGTGAACCAATTATAACCTATTTGTTTTATGATCTAGGTCCATCATCTATAGTTCAATTTTCAAATTACTGAAGTGAAAATAATACCAAGAGACTAATGGAAGAGGTTACTTTCCCAGAAACCAGAAGTATGGGCTTGTATTGTATGATTAATCTCAAGTTAAAAATTATTCCCTTGGGGCCCGGGGATTTAGCTCAGTGGTTCCAGCACCTGCCTTGAAAGTGCAAGGTCCCGAGTTCCATCCCCAGTACCAAGGAAAAAAAAAAGACTATACAAAACACATCACAGTGTTCAAGGGAATAATTTTATTTATTTATTTATTTATTTTTTGGTATCGGGGATTGAACTCGGAGTATAAAGTCTTAAAAAGTATTTCAGGGCCAGGGATTTAGCCCAGTGGTTCCAGTGCCTGCCTCGAAAGTGCAAGGTCCTGAGTCCGATCCCCGGGACCAAAAAAAGTATTCAGAATTTTCATACCTTTTTATTTTCTAGTCTTTTAATTTAAAAGTTCATCTTTTTTTTTTTTTCTTTTTTTGGAACCGGGGATTGAACTCTGGTCCTTGTGCTTGCGCAGCAGGCGGAGAAACCACTGAGCTAAATCCCTGGCCCTAAAAGTTCATCTTAAAAGTAACTCCATTAAATCATGATCCTAAGATACCTTGCTAAGCTATAGCTTTACTCTCCACCTCCCACAGTGTGGCTTACAGGACCAGGAACAAGCAAGGGGTACTTTCTATGTCATTTTATAAAAATAATGACAAATTAAGTTTATCCTAATAAAATTTCAGTTTGATAGTTTTTCTCAAAATATTTATAAAGTCGGGCCGCGGATTTAGCTCAGTGGTTCTGCCACCAGCCTCGCAAGTGCAAGGTCCCGAGTTTGATCCTCGGTACCAAAAAAAAAAAAAAAATTTATAAACTCAAAAAAAAAGAAGAGAAATGGAAATTAAAAATATTCCTTCTAAAATAATTTTCCAGAAATCCTAAGAAATTTCTCAAAACTAAAAACAAGGAAACTTTGAACATCTTAATTTAGCTTAATTCAGGTAGCCAAAAGAAATATTAAGGACACAAATAGTTTTATTTGAGCTTCCTGATATTTCAATTCAAGTTTAAATGATGTTTAGAATCTCCTCCTCCTCACACTTGTAGGCAGTAAGTTCTAGAAAACTACAATAAAAGAGTGAGGCATGACAGTGCATACGTGTTTTCCCAGCACACCAGGGGCTGGGCAGGAGGATCATTGTGAGTTCAAGGCCAGCCTGAGCTACATAGCAACCCAATCTCAAAAAACTTTTAAAAAGAGAAAGAGCAAGCAAGAGAGAAAACTGTAAGAAGTAAATAAGTTCTAAGAGTTCCTGGTTCTGATCACTATGAAAGTCAGTACTGCATAATAATCATTCTGTAGCAATAATGTGCATTAAAAGCACAGAAGCATTCACTGGGAAAACGTCAAGGACCTGATACAATCTCATATTTAATTCAAGTTAAATGAATTTCACAAATACACCACTGATGCACTTAAAGACTTTGTACATATTCTAATAGGTACTATGCATATATCTGTATACTGCCATTAAAAAAAGAAAAACAAAGAAAGTTCAGCCTTAATGCAGAACTCTAAAAGAAGGATGAAGTGGAAACAGGTCTCCATATTTCAGAGTTTAGCTCTGATTCTGTCATTTCTAACAGGTTGGTGGCAACACGGATCTGTTTTCAGGACAATCCAGCTCAGTCCCTCACTGAAGCGTTCTCTCTGGATCTTTACGTACTTAAGCCACTGCATCTAGGAGCTTTGCTCTTTAAGGACTGACATAATTTCTGAGGCTATGTGGAATAAGAGAAAATAAATGCCAAAAAAGGTACCAAACTATTGGAATTACAAATGTTGACAGCTATACGGGGATATTAAAATTTCAAATAATTCACTAATTTTTTTAAAAGTCCTTTTTTCTCCTCAACCTGAAGAAGATATCTCCTAAAAGATGGAAGAAATGGAAACATCCACATATGCTTGCAACCTGGTCACTCAGAGCTGCAGGGATGAGCATCTTCCTGTACCAGATGTACACTGTCTCTCCCTGTGAAGTCAGCTACAGCATCAAAGCAGGCAAACACCACATAATCGTCAAGTGTTGAAAGTTTCAAAGTCAGTTCTGTGAAACCCACGATCTTATTTCCATGCGTAAGCTCTAACAGGGTAAAAACACTCACTCATGTAGCGGAAAGTCTCTTCAGCAAGGACTGGGGAGAGGGCATCAGACACATGCTGCGGCTGGAGCTGTGACTGCACCCAGTGCTGGTTCTCGTACAGGAGGAGCGAGTCCACCCTCAGCTTGTACTGCGGCAGCTGCTCCTCCAGCAGGCTCACCAGCTCCACTTCAGGGAGGTCCCCATCAGAGCAGACATCTAGGGGGAGAGCTCGTGTAATGAATTCAGCACATTTCAGTTCACCAGTGAAATAGGATTTTTTTGTTATTTGTGCCAGGGATCAAACTCAGGTCCTTGTGCTTGCGAGGGAGGCGGCGGAACTACTGAGCTAAATCCTCGGCCCTGAAATCAGATTTTTGAAGGCTGCAAACCAAAGAAACATTAGATGAGATCATTCTTCCACTGACTTACTGTTGTTGGTCTTTCTCTGGATTTCCTTAAAAAGAGAACTTCTAAAGTAAAAATAATGCCACAAAATTTAAATACACTCTATCAAAAGTATATTGCTTGGGGCCGGGGATTTGGCTCAGTGGTTCCGCAGTACCAAAAAAACCCCAATATATTGCTCGGTGAATATAACTATGTTTTTAAAACTTAATATGAATTGGAGACAATTTCTTATCTCTTCTGTAGAAATTTTTTTTGGGGGGGGTTACAAGGGATCAAACTCAGGACCTTGTGCTTGGAAAGCAGATGTGGTGCCACTGAGCTAAATCCCCGGGCCCCTGTTATCAATGTTTTTAAAGGAGTCTATCTCCACTTACATCTCGAGCAGGGGATTGAAGAGGAGCAACACAAACGAACCAGCAGAAAACAGTCAATTCAAAAAGGACAAAATTCAATGTTCTGTAATAATAAAATCTGAACATTGTGGAAGAATTTTTTTCAAAATATGTAAAATTATGTTTTACTATTCTCTATCAATAGCTAGAAATTTTTTAGTATATGTGGGGCCGAAGCGAGCACAACTAGAAATTTTTTAAAAAATTAATGTCTACAAAGCACTCGTAAGTACTTGAGAATTTTTATTTTAAAGTGTGGTATAATTAAAGACTTAAGTATGTGAGAAGGATATTTAAAGGAGAAAAAAACATAGCTTCCTCCTAACAATCCTCCCTTGCCTTCAGATATACATTTCCTAGGATACAGGCGACTGTCCTGGGCACAAGTCCTGTCTCTGCACATAACGTAATGTGATGCCGGGTGGGTTACCTACCTCTAAGCCTTGCTTCTCATTTGTACAATGGCTGTGACAGTATTGTGTACTTATCCACAGTGGCTGTGTGAATTAAGTAAGACGAGCAGGAAAAATACTCGTACTTAGGAACAGTGCCTGGCATGCCATGGAACATTTGCTAAATATCTTCATTATTGTTTCGCTGATGAGTTTTTAGACTTAGCAATCAACTCAAGTCTAAGGTTGCTGGAGCATCTACATAATTACAGAATACGCATGGTGGCAGGCACTTCAGAAACCACCCATCCTGTCACCTACCTAAGGAAACAGCCATTCAGGTGAGTGGCTTACTGAGGAGCACTAGGCTTGTGAGATTTCCTGTCCAGTACTGTGCCCACACAAGCACAGGCTCCCCTTACTGCTGTCCCCCATTTCCTCCCAGGACAGAGGCTGGCCACTTGTCCTAGGACAGGCTCCCACACATCATGCCTTTAGCAGACCGTATTAGCCTTACAGATCTGCTAACTTCTCCAGACACCTACTTTATTTATTTTCCTATTTTTCATTCTTAATGTCAGAAAGAACTCGGGGCTCTGGCAACAGACCCAAGTTTCTAAATTTACTCTTCCACTTATTAGTTGTGGATGTTAGATACATGACTTATTCTGTCTTCATTTCCATTCTGTGAAATAAAGAGAATCATCTACCATACACAGTAATAGTTAGAAGTAAGTAAGTTACAAACAACCAAAGCACCCAGGATAACATTTGGCACACAGTAGGGCTCCCTGGAGGCTGTTCACATTGCTACTTTCTCACTAGCGCACTGTCTCTGCACACCACTGGGATTTTCTTCTTGATGTGTCTGCTCCTGGTGTCCTGTTTCCAGGATACCAGGACAGGAAGATGATGATGTCCATCATCTAACACCTCCCAAATTTAGCCATTTAAGCGGGGGGATGCCTTATCTCTTTTAACATACTTAAAATAGAAAAAACACAGGATGTAATTATCCACCCTCTCACTTTTAAGCGATGTGGTATTTCCTTTCTGAGTAGTAAAAAGAAATATGCTCTAACTCTGGCAAAGAAAACAAACTTTAAAAGGATAAATGTGTACTACTTGACATTAACTTATTAATAACAATTTAATAAGTCAAGGACGAAGGCCAGCAGTGTCAGATATCCCTATTTATCCAGAAGGAGAAGCAGGCTTTGTAATGCAGATATAAATCTTAGTTATGGCTCTAAAGAAGCTCTCAATCCTTGACAAATCTCTTAAATAACAGCCCTGAAAATACATTCAAATTTTATTACGACAAATTCCAAGTGATGGTGCAACTTCTTCTTGCCACACATATGATGTATACAGGTTGTCACTATAATACTTGCAGGAAGAGAGGGTGAACATAAATATACAGAAGTGAAAATGCAAACTATTCAATATTCAAGAGTGTAATGGAAATGAAGAGCAAAACTGATGCTGGGTTAAAGAGAAGTTTTCTTTCCTTTTTTTTTTTTGGTACTGGGGATCGAACTCGGGTCCTTGCGCTTGTGTAGCAGGTGGTGAAACCACTGAGCTAAATTCCCGGCCCAGGAGAAGTTTTCTTTAAGTATTAATGAAATCCTGTGAAAACTCAAGGTCATAATTTATTATTTCCAAAAAAGTAATTTTAAAAATGAATTCACAACCCAAATTTAGTAGACTGAGCTAAAAATTCTTCAGACTAGCTCCTTCCACCTGCTTCCATATTTCTGATGTACTATTTATTACTCTTGTTTGCCCATGCTCAACAAGGTCCTCTCTACCATTTTACCCTCCAAATGTCTCTCCCATATTCTCACTTCTTCCCAACTACACTGTCTCCATTTTAGATTCAGAATGTCCTTTTGTTTCTGTTGAATATGGCCTCAAAATTGGTCTGCCCTCATCACAATCAAATCATCCTTCACAGTATTATATCACTCTCCTACAGAAAGGTAACAGGTCTAAATTTAATCTTGCCAGAATAGAAAAAAAACCCTACTGAATATTTTGAACAATCACTAAAGACTGTACAAGGTTCATGCCTACTGGTAGTGGGATTAAATTAATGCCAGAATAAAGAATACCACTGTGGGGTCCACAGACCCACATAACAAAGATTAAAACAAACCTCAAAAAGATAAACCTTGTCAGAAAATCTGCCAAAACAAATTTTGATACTTTCCCAAGGAAGGCAATAAAAATCCAAACACCTGGGCCAGGGATTTAGCTCAGTGGTTTCACCACCTGCTGCGCAAGCACAAGGACCCGAGTTTGAGCCCCAGTACCAAAAAAAAAAATCCAAACACCTAACAATGTAACAGTCACAATGTCCAGCATCCTGAAAAATTACTTGATATGTAAAGAATATGCAATTTGAAATCCATGATCAAGAGGAAAGTCAAGAGAAACAGATGCAGTAATGACAAAGAACAGAATTAGCAATTTCAAAACAGCTCATAATTAGTATGCTCAAAGATTTAAAAGGAAAATATGAACTTAATGAAGAAAAAAATAGAAGATATACGAGACATTTATAAAATGTAGATAAAACTGGCACATAATATCAAAAGTGAAAAATTCAAGGGCTGGGGATTTAGCTCAGTGGCTCTGCCGCCTGCCTTGCAAGTGCAAAGTCCCGAGTTCGATCCCTGGTACCAAAAAAAAAAAAAAAAGGGAAAAATTCTCTGGGTTAAGATCAGCAGAGTAGGTGTTCTCCAGAGAAAAGTTCAGCAGGCTTGAAGGCACAGCAATGGAAATTATCCAAATGATAAAACAAAGGGTAAAAAATTGGGGACAAAAAATGAAAACTCACATCAGTGACCAACAATTTAACATACACACAGTTACAGTTATAGAAGAACAGTAAACAGGTGAGACCAGAAAAAATATCTGAAGAAATCATGGCCAAATCCACCAAATTTAATTAAAACTACAGACTCATAGCAAAGACACTCAACAACTTCAAATAGGATAAGCACAAAGAAAACTATGTTAAAGTCAAATTGCTAAAAACCAGTAATAAAGAAAAAATCTTAAGAGCAAAGAAATAGGGAAAAAAAGATACACTAAAGTTACAAAAATGAATTGAAATTATTCACTGGACACAAGGTAGATGACAGTAGAACATCATCATTAAAGATGAAGAAAAAAGGGTCACTAAGAGTTCTGTACCAATGAAGACACCTTTCCAAAAAGCTGAAGAGGTTTTTATCTTCAGCGAAGTAAAAAAACTTAACTATTCATTGACACCTGACCTATATTATCAGGAATGTTAAAGCTCTTTAGGCAAAAAGGATGCCAGATGGAAATTTCAATTTAAAAAAAAGTAATAGAAGTGGTAAATAAGTGGGTAATGTAAAGCCTTTTAGTCTCATAATTTATTTAATTTATAATTAACTTTTAAAGCAGAATTTAAGAAAAAAACAACTTTGAGTCTAGATAGGGTTCAGAATTCAGAATTTTCTGGATTTTTAGAAAAGTAGTATGTGCATTAACCATGTTATATAACATCCCCAACCAGTTTTCTGGCAGCATCCCATATTTAACATATTAATACATATTCAGCAAACATAAATATTCTTTCTTTGTGAGGTAGGTCTAAAAAAAGCCACGCAAGTCAAGTCTTAAGAGGCGAAAGAGTTTTGTGTGTTCTGTGTTCTTCTGATTCACCCTTGAAGATAAAGCAGGAAGGCCCTGCACCCACGTGTGTACCCCGGAAATCCAGAGAGCCTCCTGTGTGCCAGCCACTGTTGTTAGGTGTGTGGGGCACACAAACACAGGTAACTCTGCCCTGGCTCTCTGGAGATAAGGTGCAAGTGACGCAGTTCCTGCTCACCAGGGACTTGGCAAGTATACAGGCGTCCAACACAGAAAAGGCACGGCACACAAAGCAGATGCTGATCACAGTAAAGGAGGCCAGGGGTGGAGAGGTTAATTCAGTTCATCTCTGAGGATCCCAAGTGGGGAATGGAGGCTTGGTTTCTCACAGCAAGTGATTCAGGCCAGACCAAGGTGCCTACACCTTGCTCTGCAAGCAAAAGCACATCAATGATCAAACTGGACTCACCAGTGATGCTCTCCAAGTCTCTCTGATTGCTGTTCATGAGGTTTTCTTCACCTCTTGGTGATGTAAAAATGGCATCCTGGGACAGATTCATTCAGGATCCTTTCTTGCTTTGGTTGAGAAGGATGGCTTTGGCATGAATCAGAGCAAAGGGAATCCATTAAGCTATTTGATAAAGAAATGAAGGTGGTCATATGGACATTTTCTTTTAGATAGATTTTCTCTGATGAGCAGAATGACATCTGTACCAATAAGTGTTCTCATGTGATTATCCTTCCATGGACAGTCATGACCTAAAAGAAAAAACAGATCATGTGACTATAATTCAGCATGCTGTCTGCCGTAGTAACCTGTTTGGCATATTGGTCTTCAGGAATGTTTTCTAATGATACATAACAACATGGATATATTGCAGAGTAACTACGCTGGAAGAAATAGGTCAGAAAAAAAAAACACAGGATATGGATTATGATTCTATTTATGTAAAAATTCTAGAAAGAAGTTATCTGTAGAGACAGAAAGCAGATCACTGGCTCCCTGAGGTAGGGAGAGAAATTACTAAGGCACAACAGAAAACTTTTGGCAATGATGAGTAAGGTCATTATTGTGCTTGTGGTGATGGCTTCAAATGTGTGTGTGTGTGTGTGTGTGTGTGTGTGTATGAAATGTGATCAAAGTGCACCCCTCAAATGTCCAATGCGATGGATATTTTAAAGTGTAAAGCCATTTAAAAATGTAAAGAAATTCAACTGTTCAATGTGATATAAAGATAAGTAAGAGTTGTAAGGGCTGTAACACATGCAGAAGTAAACGTATTACCTTACCACAATGACAGGAGGGAAAAACGAAGAGCCCTGTTACAAGGCTTTATAAATGGGAGAGAACTATACTACCTGAAGGCCAAGTGTGAGAAGTTGAACTGGTACAGGCGTATTATAAACCCGAAAGAAAACAACAAAATACTCAGGAATTACAGATACTAAACCAATTGAAACAGAAAGATACAAATCAGGGTTTCTGGACTCTGGCCATTATTAACACTCTGTCATCTGGGTCCTGTGGGGTGTGCGCTGCCAGACGCTGGCAGTGTCCTCTGCTCTGTACCTACAGGGTGCTAGCAAAACCTTTGCCCAGAACTCTCCTGGCCATAACCACCAAAAGTGTCTCCTGTTGTCAGACTGGATTTTAAAAAGATGACCTAATGCATAGGAGGTGCCCTTTAAACGTAAAGATTCAGGTAAGATAAAAATACACACATACCTCTAACAAAACATTAGGAAATCAAACCTGCAATCTGTCAAAAACATAAAATGTCTTAGCCAGCCACAGTGACACACGCCTGTAATCCCAGGACCTGGAAGGCTGAAGCAGGAGGATTGCTGAGTTCGAGGCCAGCCTGGGCCATATAGTGTGTTCAAGGGCAGCCTGAATACACAGTCATATCCTGTCTTTAAAATACCACATGCACAAAAAAAGATAAAATATCTTTATTTTGTTCATTTAGAATTTTATTTATTTTTACATGAGAAGAATAAGAAAGCAATATTCCCTGATGTACACCATCACTGCCATCAGATAACTGAACAAAATCTGAACAAGGAATTCTGCCTACAAAGAAGGTGGAGAATGATGATTATTAGGTAGACAACTAACTACATCATCTGCAATGTAAGTTTTTATGTCAGGTAGAATCTCTGTCAAAGTCTTTTAAATTATAATAATCCAGAGATCTGGATTTTACACTGATTAAGAATGTAACACAAATATAGATGTAATTATAGACTAAAAATGGCAATGGAGACACAGGCAGACTTGTCAGCAGGCAGTAGGCCATCTAGCGCAGTCAGCAAACCACTGTCCACAACCAATATGCCCTGCACCAGTTTCTGTAGAGACCTAGGAATGATCTTTATATTTTTAATGGCTAGAAGAAAAAGAACTATATTACACTGAATGTGAAAATTATATGAAATTCAATTTTTGGCGCGTATAAATGAAGGTGTATTCAAACCTGGACACTCATTTAAACACTGTCAACCAGAATACCGTCAACTGGTTGCTCTCAGAATAAATGGCAGAATTTAGCAATAGTGACAAAGACCTTATAGCCTGCAAAGCCTAGAATATTCACTGTGTGACCCTTTACAGGAAGTATTTCCCCATCTCTGCTCTATAGAGGTAAAAGCATTCAGTCAACTCATAACAATCTGTCTACATCAAAGCTTTCCTAAGCAGGGCACCCCTTCCATATTTGATACCTGTAGTCAGATACCACTTTTGGAGAATGTTAGTAAACTAAAAGCAGATTGCTCCAGTCTATCCTCACAGTTGTATTTGAAAGTTATTTTCATTTTCTAAGAAGCCGTTTTTATAAAGCAGTAAGTTACAAATTTCTTGTGAAGAGGAAAGATAAGGAGGGAAGGAGCTAGAAAAGACAGGAGGAAATGAAAGACAGGGAGGAAGATGAAAAGGGAGAGGATAAAAGTAAATACCACTCATTCTGGACCAAAATGATTCCTAAAAACAACTGTGGTCCTTTTAATCCTACTTTAATCAAAGGCCATTGTGAATCTAAGGGTAAGCTTTGGACCTTCTGTCTACTGTTATACAGGAGCTGGTTTAATCTTACAGTACCACTTCCATTTTTTCTATCTATCTATCTATCTATCTATCTCACAAGAGCACAAAAATGCAAACTGCTTTTAAATTATCACTGGAAGTTGGGTTATGATTTGATCTGAATTCCTGCTTAAAAGAATAGAGGAAAGCTGAACACAGACTGAGTCTATCTTTAGAGTCACGCAGAAAGACATGTGATTGTCAGGGCACAGGACCCTGCCAGCCTGCACCGGGCACTGGGTCAGGGTTCTCCGACGACGGAGCGCCTCCCGAGTGCGCCTCAGAAAACACCTGGCTCACATTCAAACTCGTCGGCACGGTCCGGGTCGAGGAGCAGTGGGAGTACAGGACGTTGTCTACACCTTGGCATTGCCCAAATCTGAACTTTAATCTTCTTTATTACTTTTCTGACCTTGAACACATTATTTAACATTTTTGAGTCTCATCCCTCATTGTCAAGATAGAGGTATTAATAACTACTCCTAAAAGAAGGGTCAAATATGAGGGCAGAATAAAAATGAAAATTCCTAGCTTAGCACCTAGAACGCAGTAGACATCCAGATGCTCATTCTCTTCAGCTTTTTGCTATAGGCTGGGCCTGAGGAAAGGATTGTGTTTTCTCCTAATATTTCATAAGTTTCTGCTACGTTTGAATATGTAATAGATGCTTTATATAGAAAGGGATTTTAAGAACTAAGAAACTGCTGACGGCAACAAAGTAACAAGTGCCATAAAGCTGAGACTACTGAAGAGGATGTTACTATAGTTCATTACTTGGGTGGATTCTAAGGGAGGTTTTCTTATAACAGAAAGTCTTAACTAAACCCAATATCTTCCTCTAAAACATGGTGGCTTTGTTAATTTTCTACTGCTGCCACAACAAGTACCACAAATGCAGTATTTGAAACATCAACAGCATATTACCTTACAGTTCTGGAGCTCAGAAGGGTGAAATGGTTTGTCTGGACCAATGCCAAGGTACAGCAGGGCCCTGCCCCTCCTTCTCTCCCAGCGGCTCCAAGAGAAACCCACTTTGTCCTTTCTGGAGCCTACAGCTTTGTTCCTCGGCTCAGGGTCTCCTCGCCATCTTCACAGCCAGGCACATAATGTGTTCAAATCTCCTCCTCAGCTTCCACTCTCACAACGCTGCCTTCTGCTGCCAAATCTTCCTCTAACCCCTTTGTATATGGACAGGCATACACATCCAAGACCCAAGCAGACAATGCAGGATAAAATCTCCATCTCCAAATCCTTAACTCGGTCACATCTGCAAAGCCCCTTCTGCTTTAAGTTACAGGTTCTGCGGAGCTGGCACTGTGTATATTTGAGGGCCATTATTCAGCCTACCACAGTGGTCAGGAACATGAATTCTTGAGCCAGAGTGCCTGAATTTCAACCCCAGCGTCATCACTTACTGGTTGTATGATCTTGGTTTGGCCACATTACTTACTCTTGTTTCTTCATCTGTTAAATAGGCCTAACAGGATCTACTTATGGGGTTGTGATGGAAATTAAATGAGTTATGGGAGAAAAATAATATTTATCCCAGAGGGCCATGGGGGAATTACAAGTTAATACATGTAAAAGTCTTAGACTAATGCCTTAGAATACAGCAAAATGCTATGTGGGTTTTAATTATCATGATTTCTATCACTACCTAAGTACGACTTTATTATCATTATCATTCTGCTACTCACACAATGTTGGGTTCAACAGAAGGGCTACTAACAACTACTTGATGGCATCTTCTCTCATCAGGAGAAGTCCAGTTTCCTGCCTGGCCTCTGACAGCCATTAATGTTTACAGCCATTAATCATCTTCTTTGCATCTCTTTGACGTATGAATAAACAGAAAGCACAGTGAGTCCTAAACACACAGGAACTGAACTTTGGGAGGCACAAACAATACACTTCCAGTCTTTCCTGGTTGGTGCATTCTGAGGACTTCCCTTAGGGCCTCCTATTTTCTTTGCTGGATCCTTAGTCAATCTTTTCAGGAACAACTGCTCTTTAAAAAACAGCCCATCACATGCGTATTTAACAAGAAGCAGGCCTTTGTAATTCATGCATATTTAGAATAAAGTAAAGTAAAATAACCAAGTAACTTATTTTAATAAGAATGAGACTTAAACAGAAGCACTAAAACATGTCACTGACAGAAATACTGCTGGCAGGAAACAACATGGCTACTCAGTTTAGCTCAGCCATGGAACTATGGGGTCAACAGTGAGTGGCTAAATATAGGCCCTGCGCCTTACAAAAAATTGCTACTTCCTTAAAGCAGGAAACTATGGAACAAAACAGCCTTGCCGAAAAGGCTACAATTCAGGGAAATTTCACCTTACAGGAATGCAGAGCCTGGAATCACAGTAAGTGCAGTAACTTAATGAAACATTTACACTGGAAGTCTATTTCAAAATTTTATTTTACAAACAATACTTCGGGGAATCATTTGAAATATATGTTGGGCACATGGAACAGTGTAGGTTACCAAGTACAGGAGCTGCCCAGGCAGGAGCAACCTAACCCCACCAGATAACCTGTGCAATTTTCAAAATAAAATAAATTCATTGTGTTCCTACATTAAATAGGTAAAGTTTGACAAAGATATTAACTGTAATGTAATTGGCTATACCACAGGGAGAATTTACCATGAACCCCACAGTAATCTAAA